TGGATCCACAAGGTTATGCAACTACCACCACTATCCAATTCCACAACATCTCCCTCGCCTCTGCCTCCCCAGAAAGCCTCGTACGCAGGAGCAGTCACTCCCTGTGCTCCTTCCTCAAGTCCCGGGCAGCCACAAATCTACTTTCTGTCTCAGTGGACCTGCCTGTTCTGGCCACTTTATATTAATGGAATTGTAGACCCTGTGGCCTTTTGTGTCTGTAGAGCGCTATGTTAGCACGAAGCCAAGGCCCCTGACTGTGAGCTCCACCAGTAGGGAGATGGTTCTTTTTATCTTTGTCTTCGTGGTGCTCTGAATTCACAATGAGTTATGAGTCCATGTGTGTAGACATTAAAGGGACTGAGAGTCTGAACTTTGCTGAGTGCTCACTGTCAGCCTAGCATGGGGCCGATTGCTTTGCAGAGGTCGCCTTGTTGTACCCTCCTAACACTCCCATGAGATCAGTACTGTCATGTCCCCATTTTCCAGACAGGAAACATAGGGAAGTGAAATAACTTATTGAACATCCCAGCTAGCAGGTGGAGAAGACAGAACTTGGATTCCTGGCCATGGACTTGAAGCATCACACTTCTAAACTGCATGCAATGGAAAGCCCTTAAACAATGACGTTGAATTGCCTATGTCTACAGTGAGAAAATGGAAGTCCATAAAGCGCTTGTAGCAATTTATTGAGCCCCTACCATGTGCCAACTATTACACCACGTGGGAGTCCACAGAAAAATAAAAATCAAGGTCCTTTAGCCCACAATGAGTTTGCCCTGTATCAGGTCTGTGTACATCAAGAGCTGTAGGAATGGAAGGGTGCAGGCACCTGTGTAGGACACACAGCCCCGGGCCTGAGTTAGCCTTCCTGTCTGCTGCTTGGCAGAGCAGATCCCGTGTGAGAGCTCTTCGGGTTTGTTGTTGCCCTTCCTCAACACCCTGGGGGGCTTCCGGGAAGGGTCCTGGCCTTGGCCTGTCGGCACCTAAGGTGGAGAAGGTGGCCCCGGCAGTGGCTATGAAGGCCTTGCCTTTGTCTCTCAAGAGGGCAAGCGGCTTCCCACTGCAGGGCAGAGTGCAGCTGCCAGCCAGCTCCCTGGGTGTTTCTGGCCTACTCAGGGCTTTGCTCTTCTCACAAAGACGGCTGTGTTGGATCTGTTTTCCCAAGTCAGATAGCTATTTGGTTTCCACATCAGAACTCAGTGCCAGCACTCAGCGTTACCAGCCCCGCCAGCATAGGCCATAGTGTGCAAAGGAATTTGAGTTCCTGGAGCTGGGTCAAAGAATGCACTCCTCCATGCAGGTGGGTGGAGGTCAGGAGAGCCTTTTCACACCTACTGCTAGCTCTTGCCAGATGTGGGCCTGGCAGCAGGTGGGTGCAGGGGCTATGGGCTCAGGGGGAGCCTAGGCTTTTTAAGGCCTTGTCACCTCCAGGAGATGGCACAGGCTGGAACACAGACCAGCCCAGAGCCTGCTTCCAATTCCCCTGCTCCTCTGTCTGGGTGCAGCATGCAGGGCCAGGACACGCTGGGACCTCACCCACATGGAGTCGTTCCAGGAAGGAGGACCCTAAGGCCAGCCTGAGCTTACATGGTGGAGAGAATTTGTGACTGGGGCAGCCAGAGGCCTCAGAAACAGAGGGCCAGATTAGGCTGAGAGAGAGACAAAGATACAGAGAGACAGGAGACAGAGAGAGAGAAGCTGAACGTCTAAGCCAGAGCAAGGGTGCAAATCTAAGGGCCATGGCTGGCTCTGTTCAGGCTACAGGCTGGAAGTGGAGCCACAGACACAGAAGGTCAGAAACAGGTTGGGAGGGTCACAAATGCCAGGGAGGCTGGAGGCCAGGCAAAGATCCAAGTGGTCCTCGCAGGGCAGAAGAGACATCTGAGTTTGCCAGTGTGGGATTGGGCATAGCCCTGGGGCTCCACTACGGGAACTCCGTGTCTCTAAGTTGGGAGGGGCCTCTAAAATAAAAAAAAAAATAGAGAAGTTCTGGACTTCTTCCAGGTACCCCCAGGAGCTGATGGGACTGGCAGCATGTTCAAGGTAATGTATTAGCTAGAGGATTTCAGGACCCTGCCAGTGGGATGAGTGTTAACCCAGCCCCCTGAAAACACTCATGAGTATAAAATTTCAAAGGCTTTTTTCCATCCAGCACCCAGACAGAGACACAAATACCCCTTGTCATTTCTCCATGGTGATGAGTGTTTTCTTTTTTTCCATATTTCACCATTTGCTAAGTGTCCAGCCATATAAGGGGTCTTCAAAGAGTTCATGGAAAATATATATTATGAACAAGCTCTGCATGGATTTCAAGATTATTTTTGCACCAAAATAAATTTATAATTCCATTTTCCCATGAGCTTTTTCAAGTACCTTGCTGTGGGCAGTGAGCTGCTCAGATCTAAAACCTGTCTCGTTCAGGGCCAAGAGCTCGTCTCTCCAGGCCTCTTGGTTAGCTAAGGGTGAAGGAACTTTCCAAGGCAGCTGCAGTTCAGCTACGCAGGGGGACCTCGGTCTTCCTGCTTCCTCCTTGTCATTGGCCCACGAGGACGTTGCGTGCCCTCGTGCAAGTTTTACTGTGTGTTCCAGTGGGCCTTTGCTATTGTTTGTTGAGCATTTCCGGATAATGTGTGGGTACTGGGAGTTATTTCAGGTTGTCTAGAAGCTTCAGTCCTTTGTACTTCTACTCATGCAACCTCCATTCCAGCCTTATAAGAGCCAGTGTGATTACTTAAAAAGATCTTCTCAGGGTGGGCGTGTGTCACAGTGGTAAGATGCCGCTGGGGAGGCCCACATCTCATAGCAGCGTGCCTGGGTTCAGTCCAGGCTCCACCCCGATTCCAGTTTCCTTGTAATGCAGACCCTGAAGTCAACAGGTGATCGAGTCCCTGCCACCTGTGTGGGAGACCAGGGTGGCGTTCTAGGCTAATGGCTTCAGCCTGGTCTGGCCCAGTTGTTGAGGGCATTTGGGGAGTGAACCAGCAGGTGGGAGATTCCTCTTCTCCTCTCTCTGTCTCTTTCTCTCTCCCTCTGCCTTTCAAATAAATCAAATAACTAAATATGAATTTCTTTTAAAAAGAAGTTACTCAAAAACCATTTCTTTTTAAAATTTTTTTTAAAAATTTATTTGAAAGAGCTACAGTGAAAGGTAGAGCCAGAGAGAGAGAGCGAGGTCTTCCATTCCGCTGGTTCACTCCCCAAATGACCGCAACAACCAGAGCTGAGCCGATCCAAAGCCAGGAGCCAGGAGCTTCTTCCGGGTCTCCTATGCAGGTGCAGGGGCCCAAGGACTTGGCCATCCTCCACTGCTTTCCCAGGCCACAGCAGAGAGCTGGATCGGAAGTGGAGCAGCCAGGACTCAAACTGGCACCCACAGAACCAGCCCCCAAAACCATTTCAATTGAGAACTAAACTATAAAAGACTTCTTAACCAACACCTCAACTAATTAAGTTCTAAGACCATCTTTTAAAAAATGTTTATTTTTAAAAAATGTATTTGAAAGACAGAGTGACAGAGACAGAGGGTCCATCCACTCATTCACTCTGCAAAATGCCTGACAGAGAAAAGGAGAGAAAGAGAGAGAGAGAGAGAGAGAGGGAGAGAGAAATCTTCTATCGCCAATTCATCCCCCAAATGACTGCAACAGCTGGGACTGGGCCAGGCCAAAGTCAGGAGCCCAGAACACCACCCACGTCCCCCATGGGGGTGGCAGGAGCCCAAGTACTTGGGCCAATCTTCTGCTGCTTCCCCAGGGGCATTAGCCAGAAGCTGGATTGGGAGTAGAGCAGCCTGGACTCAACTAGCATTCCAGTATGGGAATGGTAGCGTTGCGAGCCTAGGCTTAACCCACTGTGCCACAATGCTGGACCCAAAAATCACCTACTTTTAAAAAAGTTTTGTTTTAATTTCTGGTTTTTCATTTTCACATAACTTTTCAGTGACTTTTCATAGCTTTCTATTCATTATGTTATTGTTTTCTCTCTCTCTCTCTTTTTTTTTTTTTTTTTTTTTTTTAGTATTCCACAATCTTTCCCATTTCTCTTCTATAAGCATCTCTCTTTTTCCTTGGAGGAAACTCCACCCATATTCTATATGGCCCTGGGCTGTCAGTAGTAGTCCCTGACCCTCCTTTCTTTTCCCTTCACTGCCGTTCTAGCCACAGGGGTAGGACCACAGCCCAGGATCGGCCAATCACCATCCCACATCCCTGTGGACAGTGATTTGTCCAATGGGTGGGCATTTGACTCTCAAGTTGGACCAATCACTCCTACCCCCACAGCTCTTCTCCTCTCTTCCAGTGATCCATCAGTACAGAATTTCTTTCCCTTGTTCAAATGTGCTCGGCTCCTTCTTGTCTCTTGCTCACAAATATTGTTTTCCTAAATTGCTTTCCTGGCTTACTCCAACACATTGTCCAGGTGCCCGTTTGTAGACTGTGTCCTTCCCAAGACATCTCTAAGACTGCTGGACTCGTCCAGGGCTCCCCAACCTCCCCTCCTACAGCCCCTTGTGCTTTTCCTCCTAAGTGTCCATCACAGGAATAATCAACACATTCTTTGTTTACAGTGAGACAATTCTTGGTTTATAGTCCATCTTCTCCACTGGACCGTGAGCTCCCTGAAATTAGGGACCATTTGTTCTGATCCTCACTGGGTACTTGGTGCCTAGCACAGTATTTGGCTCAAAATAGGTGCCCAGTTAATATTTGCCAAATTAAAAAAGCATGCATGAGTGAGTGTTTCGCTTGGAAGCCCTTGTGTTTGATCTCCAGGGACTCTGTTGACTAATAAACACTGGCAGCCCTGATTCACAGAGTGAGCGTGGAGGGCTCCCTGGGGAAGCAGACGGTGTCACCAGCCGTCTCATCAGGCTGTCTGAGCCGGGTTTCTGTGTGAGCAGGCCAGAGTGGACCTGGCTCCCGGGAGATGGCAGTGTTGCATAGTCTCTGACTCACCCACCCTCCCAGAATCCCTTTTCTGAGGCCTGGGAGATACCGGGCTGGGCCTTGACCTGTCAAGACACAGAAGATACGTCCATGGCTCTTTGAAAGAGCTGTGAGTGTTCAGGCAGCTGTGAAGCAGCGCCTTTGTTCCCGCGACTGTCCCCAAGCCAAGATAAACACCCCCACCCCACCCCCACCCCCCACTATTGATGGATTTGGTTCCGTCCTCTGCTCGACAAATCTGCTTTCCCAAAAGTGGCTCAAGGCTTCCTCTCAGCCTCTAGGCTTTAAGATGTCCTGGGAGAAAAGTCTCAGGCCCCAGGGCTGGTACCTCCTGGGGCTGTGGAAGTCTCACTACTCATGAGTTCTTTCCCAAATGTAGCTGGTTACTGCGAATGTAAACTCACACAGTTACCCACATGGTGTGCACGTGGACAGTCTCTGTTCATACCATGACTCAGCAGAAGCACCTTACCTGCTCTCAGTAAGAGGGTGGCAATGTCTGCCTCTCAGGTTTGTGCTGTGTGGAGTCAGCAGTGTGGAAGCCCCTGGCACCAAACTGGGAACAGAGTGGTGGCTTAGCAAAAAAAATGCAGATTCTCTTCCCTCCACCCCTCATCCTCCTGTCCCTGCTGCCATCAGCCCAAGGTGAATTCTGTGAGAGAGCATCATCAGCAAGTTCTTAACAGTGAATATCGGAAACAACACCTGCGTCACTCCTCCCAGGCACCTTCCGTCCTCAGTGTGACGACGGGCTTTTGCCAGATTAAAAAGTGTCCCTGGTCATTGGAACACACAACCATCAATTATCCAAGTCCCTGGGCTCCTGCTGCTGCCCTCTATGGGACCCCAGGCCCTCCTGGGAATTCTCAGGTTCGCCATGGCCTTGGCTCCTTTTCAGCCTGCTTCCTTCTGTTAGAGCATCTGGGCCGTAGCTCCGGAAGCGTCTGGCCCTGAGGCTGGGGCTCTTATCTCCGACTTCGTGAGCCCCCATCCCTGCCATGTCAGAACCCATTAGCGACCACTCTGCTGAGGCTTTGAAGGAGTAGCCGGTTCGTAGAGGGAAGGGCTCGTGCCAAGCCGGGCCAGATGGAGTAAGTAATGAAGGCCCCAGATTAATCTCCCCCGTCTCTTTTTTTCCAATATGAAGGCTCAACCGAGAGCTTGGGAGTCTCAAGACAAATTACACTTGTCAGCCTCAAAGCAGAAATTCCCTTCCAAGCCAGGATGTTTGCGCTTTCTCTTCTCTTTCCTCATCTCCTCCCTCTCCCCTGAAATAGAAAACTGGAGAAAAAATGGGGTGTACATGAAATGTTATGACATCTTTGCATCATTGTAATAATAAGAGTTCCACTGAACATTTACTGTGTACTGAGCAGTGGGCGCAGTCCTCTGTATGCATTCAACTCATTTGTGCCTCATCGTGACCCTACCAGATAGGTACGTACTGGTGTCCCCATTTTGGGGATTAGGAAACCAAGGCTCAGAGAGGATGACTGACTCAAAGTCACACAGTTAGTAAGCTGTAGAGCAAGGATTCATGCCCTGGCTTGTGCTTCTGCAGCCGCTACACCAGTCACTTCCTTCCATCTTTGGAGCTACTAATCTATGACTCAAGTCTTTGCCTAAAGGGCCAAGCCAGTTCTGGAGACAGGGATACAGTGTCCTGCTCTTTCTCATTGTCAGAATCCTCCTGGAGTCTTCCTCTGAGAGCCACCAGTAAGCATTAGGTTCCAGAAGAGCACAGCCCAAGGAGTACTTCAAGAAACCTTAGCCCTGCATTGGGTGTTCAGCTTAGCGGAATGCCCGGGTTTGACTCCCAGCTCTGGCTTCTAGTTTCAGCTTCCTGCCAGGGCAGGCCCTGGGAGGCAGCAGGTGACTGCTCAAGTAGTTGGGTCTCTGTTACCCTGATGTGGGGACCTTGATTGAGTTCCTGCTTTGTGCCTTGCCCAGCCCCTGCCATTCTAGGTATCTGAGCAGTGAACCAGAGGGGTACTCTGTCTGTTTGCCTTTCTATCTCTCTCTCTGTCTCTTAAATAAAATTAACAAAATTTTTTTTAACTATAGCCTTTGAAATAGGTGGGGACAAATATCCTGTGACTAAATACATTTGGGAACCACTACATAGAATTGGTTCCTCCCCAGTCATAAGGCATAAGAGCAAGTGAGACGTTCTAAGATGCCTTCATAATGGAGAAATTCAATGGACTTTGGGTTCCCACTGTCTCCCCAAATTTTTTGACCCAGTCTGTTTTCCAAAGCACATCTGGGAACAGCCATGGAAGTGCGCTCTTAGAGGACTCTGCCCTAGAGCCTTGCTACATAAAAGGCAAGGAACCCCAGGTGCTCCTGTGCTTGGAGCAGCAAAACAACATTGCCTAGAGCTCACTAGAAATGTGGACTCTCAGCCCACACTCCAGACCCCACTAAACCTCCAAGTCATGTGAAGGCACCTACATCTGAGAAACCCAACTCTAGACTGCAGTGTAACCAAAATAAGGTCAGTAGAGCAGCTGGCTCACTAAGTAGACGTGTGTCATCAGTCACCTATTGTCTTTCAAGCTTTCTTTCTTAGTTGATTTATGAGAGAGAGAGAGAGAGAGAGAGAGAGAGAGAGAGAGAGTTTCCCCTCTGCCGATTCACTCCCCACATGCTCTCAGCAGCCAGTATTGGGCCAAGCTGAAGCCAGGAGCCAGGGATTCAATCTAGGTCTCCCATGTGGGCGACAGGGACCCAAATACTTGAGCCATTACCTGCTGTTTCCCAAGGTATGCATAGCGGGAGACTGGAATCAAAATGGAGTCAGGCACTCTGATATGGAATGGAACATCCCAGTTGGCAGCTTAACCTGTATGCCCATTGCCTCTCCCAGCCACCCGACCTTGGAATGATGTCAACGCGAATTTTGTATATTTGGAAAACCAAATTAGAGAAGAAGGAACCATTTTTCCTTTTTCCAAGCAGCCCTGATCCCACAAGTAAATATAAACACAGCGTGGAGAATAGAAGGCCGGATTTAAGGAGGATACTGGCGCACCTATCAGTTTTTGATAATTCCTCATTAAGAAGACCTAGCTCAGTGAACTATTTCTTTAAAGATTTGTTTATTTATTTGAAAGTCAGAGTTTCACAGAGAGAGAAGGAGGGAAGAGAGAGAGAGAGAGAGAGAGAGAGAGAGAGGTCTTCCATCGCTGGTTCACCCCCCAATTGGTTGCAATGGCCGGAGCTGTGCACATCTGAATCCAGGAGCCAGGAGTTTCCTCCAGGTCTCCCACGTGGGTGCAGGGGCTCAAGGACTTGGGCCATCTTCCACTGCTTTCCCAGGCCGTAGCAGAGAGCTGGATGGGAAGTGGAGCAGCCGGGAATTGAACCGGCACCCATATAGGATGCTGACATTGCAGGCAGGGGCCTTACCCGCTATCACAGTGCCAGCCCCTCAATGAACTATTGCTCTCACCTTCATCTCACACATGCTGCCTCAGAACAGAGTTCTTATCATTTTTTAAAATATTTATTTTATTTATTTGCAAGGCAGGGTTACAGAGAAGTAGAGACACCAAGAGAAATCTCCTATCTGCTGGTTCACTCCTCAAGTGGCTGCAAACAGCGAGAGCTTGGCCAATCCGAAGCCAGGAGCCAGGAGCCAGGAGCTTCTTCCAGGTCTCCCATGTGAGTACAGGGTTCCAACACTTGGGCCATCCTCCACTGCTTTCCCAGGCCATAGCAGAGAGCTGGATCAGAAGTGGAGCAGCTGGGACTCAAACCAGTCCCAATATGGGATGCTGGCACAGCAGGCCGGGACTTTAACCCACTGTGCCACAGTGCTGCCTCACTCCTATCATTTTAGTTAAAAGTTTCCAGTCATTTGAGCTGAACCATAGCTGGCAACCGCACCACCCCCCCATACCCACAGCCCCTCTCCCCACCTGCCATCCTTCGTTTCCCACTGGTGTCTCCCATTGGACAAAGGCACCTGAGAAATGTTTGCAAGGGTGGTCTATGAGACTCTGAGTGCAGCGGGGGGGGTGGGGTGGATCTGAGAGCCAGCAGGAAAGTGACTGGCAGAAAGCTCTAGTGCCTCTGTAAATGAGGGCACCAAATGGTTTCCTTCCTTGAGGAAGGGGCTGTAGCAAGACACCAAGGGAGTCTGGTAGACAGAAGATGGGAACACTAATAGCAGAGAGGAGCCACCCAGGAAATCCGGGGAACTTATGACCCAGAGTTGCCTGCAATGACGCTTGACTCTTGGCACGGATCCTTCCATGCTTCCAATAGCTCCAGTCATTTCATCGCCCTTAGCATGGAAGCCTATTGCGGGCAGTCTCCACAAGCCATTCAGACCACCTGTCTTGCACCCACATATCCCTAACCCCCGTTACTTATTGTTTTCCTGGCTTTCTCAATCCCTTGATTCCAGAGATCCTAGCTCTGAGTACCCACTCCAGGCCACTCCATCAAGGAGAGCTGGTTACTCCTCTTTGGTGTGGCCCCAGGCCCTCTCCTGGGGTAGGTCGCAGCCTTCTATTACTCATTTCCCCCAAGGCTGATGCAAATATGCAGCCAAGAGGAGCATGCGAAGGGCCAAGGCCCTGTGGGAGAATCCACACAACTCTTGGGGAATTTTAACTCTGGGTCTCTCATGGAGACGCAGGCCTTCTGATGGCAGGATGAAGTAACGTGGAATCACTGAGTGGCTACTATATGCTCACTGCTGCATTTGGAATCCTGTAGAAGGTATGCAGGTCAGTGGGCAGGACGTGTCCCTTTTTCTAGGCAATCCTTTCTCAAAGGTCACTGAGAAATTAACTTCCTTCCTTCTAGCCTCTCTCCCTCCCTCTCTCTCTCCCTCCTTCCCTCCCTCCTCACTCCCTCCCTCCCTTCCTTCCTTCCCTTCCTCCCAAATATTCCTCTGTCAGCCAAGGATGCAATGGTGAGCAGAGTAGAACATAGTGTCTTCCCTTTAGGAGCCTCACTTCCATGAGGAAGAAAGGAATGCAGCCATAGTTCAGCGATAGGGGTATAGATACGGAAGCAGAGAGAAGGGGCGTTTAACCGGCCTCAGGAAAGTGGAACAGGGCT